AAGGAATAACAAGTGAAATATCCACTAAAGCAAAGCTTAAGTATATAATACCAACATCTCCCTCATCAGTTGTTCAAGTTAGATAATTTTTGTTTTCAGTCGCTCGACCAGTTTGTATTATTTTCAGGGAATCGCATGCCGATAATTTGATTCCGTTTGTGGCGTTGGGTTGAAGAATCGAACTCAAAATTGTATTTGGGGTTGAAATTATCGTGTATTGAACTGCCGATTTTAATTTTCAGCCGACGGTTGGAGATTATTGAGGTCTGGTTGCGATTTTTTTTTTTTTTTGCATTTTTCAGTTGGGTATATCCGAGTATATCTGAAGTAACTTTTCTCTGGTTATCTGTTTAATAATTTTTTTTTTTCTTGGGTTATATGTTGGGTATATCTGAGTATATCCGAAGTAACTTTTCTCTGGTTATCTGGTGGGTATATCAGAGGTAACTTTTCTCTTTATCCGAAGTATCTTTTCTCTTTCTATGCTATACATTTTGTCATTGGCTTTCTGCACTTGTTACACATTTTTAGTATATTTGAAGTATAGTTTTGGTGTATGTCAGGTAACTGAATATATACACGGAATATATACTAACATACACTGAATATATACTAATATAAACTAAAAATATACTACCTGGCGGCTGCTTGAATTACAATGTACAAGTTGCGTGAATTAAGGAATTAATAAATGAATCAGTTATTATTTTTCTTTTCTCTCTCTTAATCAAATCCACAAAAAGGAGGATGGAAGTTGAATATTAATGCAAGCGTAAGCGTCCTGGTCCGGTTCGGGATAGATCGGTTCTTGTCCTCGCCGGTAGAACGCCGGAAACCTGCAAATAACTCTCACACCGGGGGTTGTGTCCGGTGAAGAGCCTCCGATGCTTAAGTCAGTATGTGTATGAGTATACTGAAGTGAAGTATGGAAAAAAATAGAATGCGTTAAGGGAGAAAGGCTCACCTCCTTTATATAGGGGTGAAATACCTGCCCTAATAGTTGCCCGGATAAGGTGAGTTGGTTGCCCAAGCTGCCCGTCCGTACTTTGACACGCCTCGCACATGTCAGAGGTGGTGCAAGGCGTTGGGAGCTGTCAGAGGTGGTTGTTTATTGTGTTTTTGTCGTTATCTTCGTGTGTTTTGTATGCTTTATTTTGTAGTTTTTAGGATCATTTTAGTGTCAACCGGTCCATTTTATCGTGTTTTGTGTATTTTTGTTAGTGTTGTGTTTTCGTATTTTTGCGCGTTTTCTCTTTTGTTTTGGTGTTGAATAGGTCCAACGAGTCGAGAACGAGGAGACGAGCCGTCCGCGCCGACCGAGCCGTCCAACCCGGAAAATCTGACCAAGCCATATCG